CACTATGGCACCGTCTGTCGGGTAGCACTATGGCACCGTCTGTCGGGTAGCACTATGGCACCGTCCGTCGGGTAGCACTAAGGCACCGTCTGTCGGGTAGCACTATGGCACCGTCTGTCGGGTAGCACTATGGCACCGTCTGTCGGGTAGCACTATGGCACCGCCCGTCGGGTAGCACTAAGGCACCGTCTGTCGGGTAGCACTATGGCACCGTCTGTCGGGTAGCACTATGGCACCGTCTATCAGGTAGCACTATGGCACCGTCTCCCTCGTGGAACACTACGGCACCGTTTCTGTCAGGAAGTACTCGGGCATATTATAGTTAACTGTGTATTGGTTATAGCTGGTGTTATAGTTCACTAACTGTGTAGTGGTTACAGTTGGTGTTATAGTTCACTAACTGTGGAGCGGTTATAGCTGGTGTTATAGTTCACTAACTGTGTAGTGGTTACAGCTGGTGTTATAGTTCACTAACTGTGTAGTGGTTACAGCTGGTGTTATAGTTCACTAACTGTGTAGTGGTTATAGCTGGTGTTATAGTTCACTAACTGTGTAGTGGTTACAGCTGGTGTTATAGTTCACTACCATTATCCATTTTGAAAAATTTTTGTTTTTTGCGACCACACCACTGAGACCCCCCCCCCAACCTTTCTGTGTGAATCAATGTTTGTTTGTTTGTTTATTTGTTTGTTTGTTTGTTTTTAGACGCTGTAAAAGTTGTGGGCTCCTCACCCATCCCCCCCCCCCTTTTTTGGGACGTTGTTTAAAGAAACAAAGTGCCCCCCCCCTCCCCCCCCCCCCGTGGTGGACCCGCCTCCTCCGTACCCCATCCTACGCCACTGGTAATGAGACGTTTAGGTCTAACAATGATAAGATTATTGGGCCCCAAACTGTTTGTTCCCTGCAATCCCCCCCCCCATATCCGCGCATCTAATTAGACCGTAACCAGGTAACTGACTTACTTAAGGTTGGTCTGTTAATTTTTTTCTCCAGTTAACCACTTGAGGACTTTTGACCCATTTATCGCTACGGGGAATCATTTGTCCTTTTAATATAAAATATGGTTATTATGTATGTAATCATATATATTTATGAGAATTTTGTTCCGAAATTTCAGGGGGTTTTTTAAAGGTGGGAGTACATATATATCCCATGAACCGGACCCTCTTTGCTACAGGACATTGCCCCAAAAAGACACCACCAATGCACTTTTAATTTTAAAGAAAATCTGGAACTTTCATCTTGTATAAATATCTGAAGCTGTCTGCACTAAGTGGCATGCTGCCTACAGTACAACGCTGCACTTTTGTCATTTTCATCATATCTGAATGAAGTGATTTGCGTGCCATATTAAATGTTTGACATACTTTACCAAGTAAACAGAAGCCATCCATTATTTTATCCCTCAAGGAGGATCTCGCCACGTTTAAAACGTTTATTCCGCTGGTCTGTTCTTTTCGTAATAGGCACACGAAAAAAAAAAAACCATTAAAATATTGCGTCATCAAACTTTACCCACCAACGGTGGAATCGGAGGGGAGATCACGTGCTCAGTTTTAACTTTTGACTTTTGGTCGATTTCAACATAACAATCAAAGGCTGGTGAGAGATTGAAGTCTTGACATCATTAGTTGATATTTTACCCTTACATGCATGGTCTAAGAACTTAATAGAAATATTCTTGTTGGTATCGCACCATTGGCAAAAATAAAAATGCGCTTCTTCAGATGCAAAAAAAAAAAAAATGAAAAGATAAAATGTTACATCAAAACACAAACCAAAAATGCCCCTAAGAAACAAAACACGGCCTTTAACATATTAATATGTTTCGGACTTGGGTCATTTAAGGCTATTTAGAGTCATGGAGTGTTAGAGGAATCGCCATGACGACATTTCAACTGCATAGGGCCATAGAGACAGCTCTGTGCTTAGGGCCATCATAGAGACAGCTCTGTGCATAGGGTCATAGACATAGAGGCAGCTCTGTGGATAGGGCCATAGACACAGAGACAGCTCTGTGCATAGGGCTTGCTGTTCTTGAGATCTCGTGATCAGTGAGTGGGTCATTCAATCAGTGGTATTTGGCTCAGTGACGTTGCTAACAAACTCCATCTGAATGACGTAGCTAACTCAGTCCACCTGAGCGACGTTAAATCGTCAGTCCACCTCCTGACTTTGCTCATGTCAAAAATAGCAAGAGATTACCTGCCACTGCCACGCTAATCAATAATCGACCGGACACTAAAAATTTCGTAATAACTTGGGCTAATTGAAATACCTGCCTGGTTTTAAATGGAGAAAATATGTTTATTTGTGTAGAAATGTGTTTATTTATGTAGTAATATGTTTATTTGTGTAGTAATATGTTGGGTTTTTTTGTAGTAATGTGTTTATTCGTGTAATAATGTTAATTTGTTAGTAATATGTTTACTTGGTTAGTAGGCCTAATAAATATGTTTATTTGTAATGTAAAGTAATATATTTATTTGTAAAGTAAAATGTTTGTGTGGTTTTACTTATATTAGTTCAGTTCAATTTTAGCCATTACATTTTAAAATGCACTGTCGACCAACCTATGAACCGAGTTCCCCATTCCAAAAACAAAAGATGCACTTCAATCACTAAGTGAGTCAAACTATAAATAGACCTACCTCAGTTAGTCAAAGCCGTGCTGAATACAATGAGCAGGTTCTAGGTAGCCTTGAAATCAAACGTGTACCTAGCAGATGACGCATGGGAAGCACTGTACAGCAGTCAAACCTTTCACCGGTACATTGAATTTACTTTGTGACCTTTTTGTAAACAAAAAGACTTCGCTTCTCCAGACCAATCACAAGCCCGTGCTAAAAATAACCACCATCGGATCTTAAAACTACAAGCGTTGTTCTACCAGTCTTTTTTTAAATTTATTTTTTAATTCCTATCTTTGCTTTTACTGTTCAACATGTCATGTATCTTCTCTGCCACTCCACCCACATGTCATGTATCTTCTCTGCCACTCCACCCACATGTCATGTATCTTCTCTGCCACTCCCCTCCCCCCACCCACATGTCATGTATCTTCTCTGATCTGCCACTCCCCCCCCACCCCCACAAACCCCCAAAGCTTTCTTATTTTTTTTTTTTTTTTTTTTTTAAGTAAACACAACAAGACCTTTTTATAAATGTTTCCTTTTTTTTTTCCTCATAGACTTGAAATTACCAGAAGCAGGTCAAACTTTTATACCAAATAAGATAAGATAGATTATTTTATTGAGCCAAACAAATGGAAATGTTTTTTTGATTGCATTGTACAGTGGCAACACATAAATAAAACAATTTGAAATCAAGACATCTAGCCTACATTAAATTATTTCACTAGTGTAAAAAAAGCCATTCAGTGAATTCTCTTATAGCCATATCAAGAACTTATTAGTTCTCATTAAGATTTGTGATCAAATTAAATAGAATAGTGTTCCACTGTTTAAGCTATATTATCAACAATCAATAGAAAAGTAATGTAGGTGTTACGAACTGGTAATGGATGTACAGCTCAATGGCTTCGTTAAGTCTAGGGGGTAAGTATTCAACGAATCCAAGATCAATATTACATAATATGGTTCTTTAATCAACAGCAGCATGTCTTTTTCTTTCCATAAACTCTCAACACACCACCTACCAAAACCATAACTACGAACAACGTCATCTCCCATACCCAAATACGCCATAACTACAAATCACATAGCGACAGCTACGCAATTAATCTCCACACCAAAAACACACACCCGTTGAACAAATCATTAACAACAGGGAGTATATGTATTTACATACACAAATTAATTTTTTTTAAATATTTAACAATAATTGAGAGGTTTGTGGCTGTTTTGCTGAGCTTAGTTGTTTTACATTTGACACAATTTCTGATAGAGCAACTCGAAGTTGGTCATCAATGTCTTTCAAGCACGACCGTCTATCATTAAAAAGAAAATTATGAAAGTACAAAAACTGCATTCACTAGAAGTGGTTGAAAAAAGTAGCAGCCCTGCTAGAAATTCTATAGGATTATTCTTCCATTATTCAAACCCAGAAAACATCAAATGAAAATGCAGTCCATCAATTATTATCTTGAAAATGAAGGGGCAGTTCTTCTGGTGAATTTTTGGTGGATCAGGCAAAATGATTTCAGATTCAATTGCATTGCTCCGTATTTATTGTATAATATAGGCCTATGAATTGGTCAAATTTTTTGCTGCAGCGATTTTAAAAATTGTTAAAGCAATGTTAGATGTTGTTGTAGCAATGTTAGATGTTGTTGTAGCAATGTACGATGTCGTTGTAGCAATGTTGAAGGTTATTGTAGCGATGTTAGATTTCCTGCGGCAATATTAGATGTACGATAACGGTCGAATTGGTTCGTTGGTACAGTACCAATCTTTACTTCTAACCTTTGACTGTTCGTTACTTAGTGGCTGATCATTGTCGATTTTGTCTCAAAAAATCTAGATCATTTTCGTTTTCATCCGCTTGGGGGAATTTTCCCGCGGCACATCTAGGATCGTTTCGCGGCACATCAATTTCGGAGCTGTGATTTGCTGTATATATTTTTTTGTTCAAAGCTGTACATAGAAAGTTCATTAAAAGCAAGCTAAAGAACACATCAATGACCCCCCCCCCCCAACCCTTTCCTCCCTTTTTTTCTCCAATTTCGGATCGCCTGACTCGGGACCTCCAGCCACGTATCTGCTGTACCGGCTGACCCGGAACTGCTCAAATGACAGTTCAATTGTCTGACGTTATATTGATTCCATGACTTGGGACTCTTTTTTTTTTTAATTTTTAAAAAAAATTTTAACAGACCCCGGGCAGGCCAGGGACAAGTCAGTAAACCATGGAGAACTCTGTGCTATTTTGGGTGACAAATCTGATAGTCAACAGCCTTCTCTTGGTGTCAGGCAAGTCTTGTTTTCAAATGTGTGTTAGCTGCTCTTGTGGCCTACTTGACACATCACTCTTTTGTCCTTAAGTTCAAAGAGTCCACGAAGTTTTATAAAATAGTTTCTTTGAAATAAATGAAACAAAACAAAAAATGCACAGAATATACCTTTTTACAAATTTGTATGTAAATGTTTTTTTAACCTCTTCTATGATGATTGATTCTATGGTTTATGATATTTATTTCCATAAGTTTTAATGTTTGTTTGTTTTTGTTTTTTGGTTAGGGTTTATGTGTTTTTGTTTTTTGGTTAGGGTTTATGTGTTTTTGTTTTTTGGTTAGGGTTTATGTGTTTTTGTTTTTTTGGTTAGGGTTTATGTGTTTTTGTAGTTGGGTTAGTTTGTTTACTTTTTAAATTTTATATATATTATAGTGTACGGGGTGGGGCTGGGGAGGGGTAAATGATAATAATAAATATTGCTCTTCATATTAAATAAACTTATTTATGAAGAAAACATTTCAACAACCCCCCCCCCCATTTTCCCTTGACGCTACTCATCAAAGCAATCAATATTTAATTTACTTATTAAAAGAAAGACATTTCACAATTATTTATCTTTTAGGGACCACATTCCCATGTATCAACCAGGAACCCATACAAGAAACAGCATATGTTGGCGCTTATGAGGTGCACTTTCCTAGCAGCATGTAAGTCTGGCAACGTTTACAGCATTTTATGATGACTTGATTCAGTCGGGGGATTCATATAAAGTCATATTATGGGCCCACTCATACACGTCAAATGTTAATATTTTTATAATTTTTATTAAAGGTTCTCACGTATTTCTGCTGAAGGCCAAATTAAACACAGGATGAGCTTCTCCGATTTATCTAAAATTCCGTTGCCTTAACACCTGGGGTCCTAGAGAGTTTCCACCTTTATGAATCAGGTGTTGGTCTAGCATGGTGACAGCTTTATGAATCAGGTGTTGGTCTAGCATGGTGACAGCTTTATGAATCAGGTGTTGGTCTAACATGGGACAGCTTTATGAATCAGGTGTTGGTCTAACATGGGACAGCTTTATGAATCAGGTGTTGGTCTAACATGGGACAGCTTTATGAATCAGCTTTTGGTCTAGCAGGGTGACAGCTTTATGAATAAGGTGTTGGTCTAGCATGGTGACAGCTTTGTGAATCAGGTGTTGGTCTAACATGGGACAGCTTTATGAATCAGGTGTTGGTCTAACATGGGACAGCTTTATGACTCATGTGTTGGTCTAGCATGGGACAGCTTTATGACTCAGGTGTTGGTCTAGCATGGTGACAGCTTTATGGCTCAAGTGTTGATCAAACATGGGACAGCTTTATGAATCAGGTGTTGGTCTAGCATGGTGACAGCTTTATGGCTCATGTGTTGATCTAACATGGGGCAGCTTTATGACTCAGGTGTTGGTCTAGCATGGTGACAGCTTTATGGCTCATGTGTTGGTCTACCATGGGACAGTTTTATGAATCAGGTGTTGGTCTAACATGGGACAGCTTTATGAATCAGGTGTTGGTGTAGCATGGGAAAGCTGTATGAATCAGGTGTTGGTCTAGCATGGTGACAGCGTTATGGCTCAGGTGTTGGTCTAACATGGGACAGCTTTATGAATCAGCTTTTGGTCTAGCATGGGACTGCTTTGTGGCTCAGGTCTTGGTCTAGCATGGTGATAGCATTATGGCTCAGGTTTTGATCTAACATGGCACACCTTTATGACTCAGGTGTTGGTCTAACATGGGACAGCTTTATGGCTCAGGTTTTGGTCTAGCATTGGACAGCTTTATGACTCAGGTGTAGGTCTAGCATGGGAAAGCTTTATGAATCAGGTGTTAGTCTACCATTGTGACAGCTTTATGGCTCAGATGTTGGTCTAACATGGGACGGCGTTATGAATCTGGTGTTGTTCTAACATGGGACAGCTTGATGGATCAGGTGTTGGTCTAGCATGGGACAGCTTTATGGCTCAGGTGATGGTCTAACATGGTGACAGCGTTATGACTCAGGTGTTGGTCTAACATGGGACAGCTATAATATGGCTCAGGTGTTGGTCTAACATGGGACAGCTTTATTGTTCAGGTGTTGGTCTAACATGGACAGCTTTATGGCTCAGGGGTTGGTCTAGCATGGGACAGCTTTATGGCTCAGGTGTTGGTCTAGCATGCGACAGCTTTATGGCTCAGGGGTTGGTCTAACATGGGACAGCTTTATGGCTCAGGGGTTGGTCTAACATGGGACAGCTTTATGGCTCAGGGGTTGGTCTAACATGGGACAGCTTTATGGCTCAGGGGTTGGTCTAACATGGGACAGCTTTATGGCCCAGGTGTTGGTCTAACATGGACAGCTTTATGGCTCAGGGGTTGGTCTAACATGGGACAGCTTTATGGCTCAGGGGTTGGTCTAACATGGGGCAGCTTTATGGCTCAGGTGTTGGTCTAACATGGGACAGCTTTATGGCTCAGGGGTTGGTCTACCATGGGACAGCTTTATGGTCCAGGTGTTGGTCTAACATGGACAGCTTTATGGCTCAGGGGTTGGTCTAACATGGGACAGCTTTATGGCTCAGGGGTTGGTCTAGCATGGGACAGCTTTATGGCTCAGGTGTTGGTCTAACATGGGACAGCTTTATGGCTCAGGTGTTGGTCTAGCATGGGACAGCTTTATTGCTCAGGTGTTGGTCTAGCATGGGACTAATTCACTTCCCGCTAATATCTGTTAACAGGGTAGCGCAGCCCACCCAGTGCCGTTGGCGTATATCCGCCTACCGGAAAGACTACGTTATCAGTTTGGATTTTATTGACGTGAACCTCACGGAGAACTCCCGCGACGGCACGTGCCTCGAGCTAGTGACAGTTTACGACGGTAAGTGAAACACTTAGTCTATTTTTCATGGTGACCCCGGGGTCTATGGGTCTGTGTCGCACGGTGACCCCGGGTTTCAGCGGTCTATGTCTCCTGATGAACCCAGAGTCTAGGGGTCTATGCCTCACACTGACCCCGTGGTCTATGGGTCTGTGTCTCATGGTTACCCCGGAGATTGGGCGCCATGGTCTCATAGTGACTCCGGAGCTCAGGATGCAAGTCTGGGGAAAAAATGAATGGCCTAAGACGCACATCAGGTCAGTGTGGAGGATGCTATCCTGAGATTGGGACAGCCTGGTCTAAACATGGATAAACTATCCTAAGGTTGAGAAAACCTAGAGTAAACGTGGATAAACTATCCTGAAGTTGAGAAAACCTAGAGTAAACGTGGATAAACTATCCTGAGGTTAGGACAACCTTAGTGTAAACATGGATCAACTATCCTGAGGTTAGGACAACCTTAGTGTAAACTTTAAACGTGGATAAACTATCCTGAGGTTGAGACAACCTAGTGTAAGCGTGGAGAAACTATCCTGAAGTTGAGACAACCTTGTGTAAACGTGGATAAACTATCCTGAGGTTGAGACAGCCTACTTTAAACGTGGACAAACTATCCTGAGGTTGAGACAGCCTACTTTAAACGTGGACAAACTATCCTGAGGTTGAGACAACCTAGTGTAAACGGGGATAAACTATTCACTCTGTTAGGACAACCTTGTGTAAACGTGGATAAACTATCCTGAGGTTGGGACAACCTAGATTAAACGTGGATAAACTATCCTGAGGTTGAGACAGCCTACTTTAAACGTGGATAAACTATCCTGAGTTTAGGACAATCTAGTGAAAATGTGGATAAACTATCCTGAAGTTGAGACAACCTGGAGTAAACGTGGATAAACTATTCACTTTGTTAGGAAAACAGACTGTAAACGTGGATAAACTATCCTGAGGTTAAGACAACCTAGTGTAAACATGGATAAGCTATTCTTAGTTTAGGACAACCTAGTGTAAACGTTTATAAATGATAATCACGATTATGTAAACAAAATCGTTTTTGTCTGGTTCTTTTTATTTGTGGGTCTGTGTTCGTATGTTTGTGTTTGTGGGTGTCTGTGGGTGGGTTGGTGGTTACAGAATTAAAGCCAATGTCTGTTATTCCGATCAACATATCACATAGCATTGCACGTGACATTACAGATGACATTACACATGACATTACAGATGACATAACACATGACATTACAGATGACTTACAGCTCAACACTAATTTTTCCCAAACTTTTCTATAACCCACCACCTCTTTGAAATATTGTACTATTCTCACATCCCTTCAATCTATTTGACTATTCTCTAACCTATACGAACTATTTGACTATTCTCATACCCATACACACTATTTTACTATTCTCACACCGATACAAACTATTTGACTGTTCTCACTCTACATACGGGTAGTCTCGCATCCCTAAATATATATATATATATATATGACATAACACTAAAAGAGAGAAACGATATAAGTACGTTCGTATTCCTAAAAACAATCTTGGTTATTTTTCTATTATTTTACGAAAATCGAATAAATTTAAATGCGCAACAAATATTTTAAATCCGCTTTTATTTTATTAAAAGTTGGAGTTATATTATTATAAATTACAAATGCATTTAAAGTAACATAAGGAACAATTTTAAGCATTTTATATATGTTTAAAAGTTATGAAAAAATATTTAAAAATTTAAAAAATCATGATCAAAGAATTACACCATTATCACATTTATCTGGAAACCCCACGAATCAGTCGTTTTTGGTGCGTCCTTTAGTGCGTTGTTAATATTGCGATATAAAATTAACATTAATTTGTTCTAAATAATCGCGCAAATGACGTCATAGCGCGAATCGCCTATTTCACCAAAACTCTTAGATTTCTTTAAATTTAATAACAACGCGTGACAAAACTGGTAATGTATTTTCCCTTCCTAAAAATAAAATTAATAGATAAAATTGATTTTCTTTTTAAATTGTTAATAAAACACACACACACACACATTTTTGCTTTGTATATTTTTAATTTTAAAAATGTATGCCTTTTTTTATTCCAAAAATATACTTTATTAAATTTATAAAGCAATAACAACTAACCTTTAAACATAATTCTAATAAGAAAATGCGCTTTAAGTCAATCGTGCAGCGTAACTCCATAGCCAAATAGCATTCACTAATCCACTTATAACTCGTACAAATAAGAGCGAACCATATGAAGTGCAAGTGTATACGTTTTTACGTGGATGACAATATATTTAAATCCTATGGTATTACTTTTGTGAAAAAAGAGATGTTAAATTCTCTTTTTACAAATAAACATATGTTTACCAATTAAGAAAATCAATAGCGTTAACAAATCTTGGGTACGTTTATTTTAAGTATATCCATGAATATCAAAACCCAATCATTTTACACATTTGAAATTTACATGTTGACAAGTGAAGATGGGTTAATATTTTCTTTTTTTTTAATTAAAATATATTTTTGTTGTTACTTTTCAAAAAGTAGAGAGGTGTGTATTTTTATGAGATTAACAATTTATTTTTTTTAGAAGACAGTCAAATCTTATAGGCGTGAAAAACAGTTTCGAGATTCTTCTTAGATTAAAGAATTCTTTGTTTTACGATTTTCTAATAGTGTATAATTTTTTTAAAAAGTCAAAAATGTTTTTAAATTTTTGATGAAGATATCAATATGTATCGAATTCCTGTAATTCAAAATATATTTATATCATATATAGAGTTTTTGTTGTAAATTTAAGATCATTTTTTTTTTAATTTTGAGAGAAAAAAGTTGTAATTCAAGGGCACGAAAAGGGGTAAATCTTAACTTTTTCTCTAGCTCAGTAATTGTCCTTCAATTAACTTCTTTAATGACAAAAGTGAGATAATTGGTGATAATTTGGATTGGGTAATTTAAGGTCATGTTTAGAGGGGAAAAAGTAGTTTTGAAACGTGAAAGGGAGTTAGGTAGGCGTATAATATATAGAAGATAAATACTTCTAAAAGGTTAATGATTTTAGAAACGGAAATATTATTACATTTTTAAAGATATGAATTAGGACGATTTTTTGCAATAGCAGTTAAAAATTATCGCAAAGGACCTACCATTATTACCCCGATAACATCGGGTCATTTATTCTAGTACAAAGTAATGAGCTATTTTAACATAAGAAAAGGTATGGACTTCTAAATAATTCTTGAATTGCAAAGAGAACCATATAACTTAGAGAGTACAATCGCGCCTCATTAAAAATACAAGAAGGACAATGCTAATAAATAAATGTTTACAAATTAATACTAATGTTTCCTCTGTTCTCTTAATATCTTTTCCTGTCACCCACATCGCAACCCGAGTTGGGGGAAACTTGTCTAATCCGTCACAGCAACATCTCCAACGACTTGTATGTCACTTTGACATTTAATAGAAAGTCCCAAGTTAACCTGGCTCCTGGAGTTGTCCCACCCATCCCCTGCACCTTCTGCACAAAAACATGTCGTGTCAGAATCGGCCCGATCGGCCTTTTGCGCACCCAAAGACCGATTCAGTCCCCAGCACCAAGGAGATGTTAAATGGACACGTTCGCATTTTGACGGGACGAACTAACACACCGATGAACACTCATAGTTATAACCACATTACCAACACCTCATATGTCGCCACGAAATTATGAATGCTCATATTATCGCATAGCCTATCTCAAGTTGTTTGTTCGGCCATTCAAACAAAATCTCTATTCATCTCGACCGATCGAAGTCTGGCCTCGATCGATTATCGTTTTCTGCCTCAATCGATAGCTTACCTCTAGCTATCACTCTTGTTGTCAGCCACCAAGAATATTCGATCATTTTCCATATTGACTGTCTACTCTGCTGGTCAAACCAAAACAACATGGCTGCAAATAACAACATTGCTGCCAGAAACAACATGGCTGCCAGACATAAACCGTACCACAACACAAAAGAGCTCACTTAAGTTCTTATTATGTACAAACCTTTGCATTATGGGGGGGGGGGAATTTTATATTGCGTTATCTTTTTTATATTGGGGATCTTTGCTTTAATGGGGCTCTTTTCTTTGTATGGGAGATCTTCACTTCACATTGGGATCTTTGCTTTATGTCGAGATCTTTTGCTGCCAGAAACAACATGGCTGCCAGACATAAACCGTACCACAACACAAAAGAACTCACTTAAGTTCTTATTATGTACAAACCTTTGCATTATGGGGGGGGGGGGAAGTTTATATGGCGTTATCTTTTTTATATTGGGGATCTTTGCTTTAATGGGGATCTTTTCTTTGTATGGGAGATCTTCACTTCACATTGGGATCTTTGCTTTATGTCGAGATCTTTCTTCATATTGGAGATCTTGGCTGTATGTGGCGATCTGTTCACAACGCATGGGCAAACCTGGGCCTCCAATGATTTTCCTAACATCACTTAAGTAGGTTAGAGTGAAATGTGTGTGTGTGTGGGGGGGGGGCAGGGGGAGGGGGGCCTCAGTCATTAAACTTTCTCAGATTTTGTTAATACGGCCCTTATCCCGGTACAGTTCGTATGTAGATGTCCATCTGTGGTGTGCGTCATGGTCATAATTATGTCACCATGTTTGGTAGACGTCAAAGACAAGGGTAGTTCGGATAATCAGCGTGCGGAAAATCGAAACTTTATTGCAGTTTTTATTCTATTGCTTTCCCGGACGTGTCCCCTTCATCATTCCCTTCATTGTTCCTTCATCGTTTCATTCATTGTTCCCTTCATCGTTCCATTCATGGTTCCCTTCATCGTTCCATTCATGGTTCCCTTCATCGCTCAATTCATTGTTTCCTTCACCATTCCCTTCATCGCTCCTTCATTGTTCCATTCATTGTTCCCTTCATTGTTCCATTCATTGTTCCCTTCATCGTTCCATTCAACACTACCTTCACCATTCCCTTCATCGCTCCTTCATTGTTCCATTCATTGTTCCCTTCATCGTTCCATTCAACACTACCTTCATCATTCCCTTCATCGTTCCATCAAAGTTCCCTTCATTGTTCCATCACCATTCCCTTCATTGTTCCCTTCATCGTTCCATCATCATTCCCTTCACCAGCCCCTTCATTGCTCGCCTCACTGGTCCGTTCATTGCTTCATTTCATCTGGGGTATATGGCTGTCTCCGATCATAACAGTACAATTACACTTACACCGACAGGATCTGACGTCACGGATAACGTGCTGACGACATTCTGCGGCCAGGAGGATCCCTCCTTTGTATCGTCGTCACGTGACACCCTGGTGGTCTTCAGCTCCAACGAGACGCTTGTGGCCGGCGGGAGATTCAGGTTGAGGTACAAGGCCGTCAAAGACCGTGCTAATAATGATGGTGAGGGTTTGTTTTTTTAATTAATAAATAATATTATTATCAGAGGTAAAGTCATTGGGGGGAAAAGTGGGGGGGGGGGTGTGTTCTCACCCCAAAATTCCTGCCCCCTTCCGAAAAGAATTTGTATATACTCCTTAGCCGCCGAAATAAAGGACAGGCACGCCGATCTCATAGTAGAGGAGTTAAATTGAAATATTTTAATGTTACATTTGAAATCAAACTTCCTGGACTCGTGCTAAATGGTGCGCGCCTTGCAAACGCACCAGGCGCATTTTTTAATTTTTTTTATATTTTTTTCGGTATGAATTTCATTTAGCACACTTATCGTGAATTTCATTTAGCACACTTATCGTGAATTTCATTTAGCACACTTATCGTGAATTTCATTTAGCACACTTATCGTGAATTTCATTTAGCACACTTATCGTGAATTTCATTTAGCACACTTATCGTGAATTTCATTTAGCACACTTATCGTGAATTTCATTTAGCACACTTATCGTGAATTTCATTTAGCACACTTATCGTGAATTTCATTTAGCACACTTATCGTGAATTTCATTTAGCACACTTATCGTGAATTTCATTTAGCACACTTATCGTGAATTTCATTTAGCACACTTATCGTGAATTTCATTTAGCACACTTATCGTGAATTTCATTTAGCACACTTATCGTGAATTTCATTTAGCACATTTATCGTGAATTTCATTTAGCACACTTATCGTGAATTTCATTTAGCACACTTATCGTGAATTTCATTTAGCACACTTATCGTGAATTTCATTTAGCACACTTATCGTGAATTTCATTTAGCACACTTATCGTGAATTTTATTTAGCACACTTATCGTGAATTTCATTTAGCACACTTATCGTGAATTTTATTTAGCACACTTATCGTGAATTTCATTTAGCACACTTATCGTGAATTTCATTTAGCACACTTATCGTGAATTTCATTTAGCACACTTATCGTGAATTTTATTTTGTGAAATCAGTGACATCATATTTCTTTCATCTTCCCTTGCTAAACAGGAAAAACTGATTTTTTGTAGATTTTGGGCTGAAAATTTAATATTTCCTTTTGTGTTTTTCTTCCTCAATAATACTCAGAAGTAGCAGTGTTACAGTAATATTTCGTCCAGCGTCTTTTCAGCATGTGTGTGACGTATACTCTTCCCTCCTCACACACACTTTTTTTGCCCAGCTACTGCAGTGGTACCTCAATAATTTTTTTAAATTTCCGGCGCCTATGCCAAATAGAAAATAAATAAACAAAATAAAATAATGAGTTGGGTAAAAATCATGTAACTGCGAACAGTCGTTACTCCAGTGTTATCATCTAGTAACTGCGAACAGTCGTTACTCCAGTGTTATCATCTAGTAACTGCAAACTGTAGTTACTCCAGTGTTATCATCTAGTAACAGCAAACAGTAGTTACTCCAGTGCTATCACCACTGTCGCTAGATGTCACATTGGATTAACAAGGGACATAAAATTATGAAACGTGTAACATTTCGCAGCGCCCGTGTGAGAAAGCCGAAGCAATCCAGGACGGAGCCGTGATGAGACAACCCCAGACAGGGCCATGATGAGACAACCTAGGACAGGTCCATGCCGAGACAACCCAGGACAGAGCCATGATGAGACAACCCCGGAAGGGCCATGATGAGACAACCTAGGACAGGTCCATGATGAGACAACCTAGGACAGGGCCATGCCGAGACAACCCAGGACAGAGCCATGACGAGACAACCCAGGACAGGGCCATGATGAGACAACCCAGGACAGGGCAATGATTAGACAACCCAGGACAGAGCCATAATGAGACAACTCAGGACAGGGTTATGATGAGACAACCCAGGACAAGGCCATGATGAGACAACCCAGGACGGAGCCATGCCGAGACAACCCAGGGCAGAGCAATGATGAGACAACCTAGGACAGGGCATTGATGAGACAACCCAGGACAGGGCCATGCCGAGACAACCCAGAACAGAGCCATGATGAGACAACCTGGGACAGGGCCATGATGAGACAACCTAGGACAGGGTCATGCCAAGACAACCCAGGACAGAGCCTTGATGAGACAACCCAGGACAGGTCCATGCCGAGACAACCCAGGACAAGGCAATGCAGAGACAACCCAGGACAGAGCCATAATGAGACAACTCAGGACAGGGTTATGATGAGACAACCCAGGACAAGGCCATGATGAGACAACCCAGGACGGAGCCATGCCGAGACAACCCAGGGCAGGGTTTGGGCGAAGACAGACAATGGTGCCACTTAAAGTATAGCAAAAATGCCCCTGTCAGGCCCAGACCAGTAAAAAGACGATTTTTTGCGCCCCTTATCTTTCTGAATTATATTTTTATATGTTAACTGTCCATTAACATATTATCTAAATACGATTTTGACACCCATGATGTTAACTGTCCATTAACATATTATCTAAATACGATTTTGGCCCCCATGATGTTAACTGTCTATTAACATCTTATCTAAAAACGATTTTGGCACCCATGATGTTAAGTCTCTATTAACATCTTATCTAAATACGATTTTGACACCCATGATGTTAAGTCTCTATTAACACCTTATCTAAATACGATTTGGCACCCATGATGTTAAGTCTCTATTAACATCTTATCTAAATACGATTTTGACACCCCATGATGTTAAGTCTCTATTAACATCTTATCTAAATACGATTTTGACACCCATGATGTTAAGTCTCTATTAACTTATCTAAATACGATTTTGGCACCCATGGTGTTAACTGTCTGTTAACATCTTATCTAAATACGATTTTGACACCCATGATGTTGGCACCCGGTGGGACTGCCCTCATTGCCCCTTTATCACGGGTCTGTCCGAGGGCCGTGTTGTACCTTGAGCGACGTGCCATATATTATGGGAACGGAACCACTGGCCTGTAGGTGGGGGTGGGGGTTGTCGAAAGCTTCTTGTAAGTACGCACTGTGGAGGAGAGTTCCAAAAAGAGCGCGTGCATCAGAGGGCAGGGTACGGTAGAGAATGTGACGTTTTGCGCGTAAGTACCTAATGGATGACTTCTTACTCCACACATTGTTACAAACGTTGGTCATTATACTGATTGATCCAATGTTTTATAGTAGTGCATTTGAGCAGCCGAGAAGCGTAACTGACAATCGTCTCTAATCGAACCCCCTCCAACCCCCCCCTCCCCCCACATGCACACAGCAATACAATATTATTATGCATATGACAGTTTAAGGAAGACAATATACTTTGGTCCTTTGCTACGTCTGGCCTTTTGAGTGACGTCATTATTTTTTGTCATTAAGATGTCCTCGATGGCGGGAAAGTTCATTTCCATTTTTAAACGGAAAACCCCATTTTGTTGATTCGACGAATTCTTCTTCTTGCGCTTGTTTCAGACTCCAGTCAAATTCTCCGCATCGCTTTCGGGGGCTTCATCGGCGCCATTGCATTTATTCTCATTTGCAGTGGCGCCATCCGGAAATACAATAAAGGAAGGCCGCACAGTTCAGTCTTTGCCTTCTTTGGGCGCCACCGCGTCAACTCCAGCGCCCAGCCTGCTGGGAACGGGCGAGGGGCAATGGAGGCGCGAGGCACAACTCCTGGGGCGCTGCAGGGGCCCAGGGGTCAGGAGAGGTTATCTTTCAGGAAAAGACTTTCAGATTTTTTTCAGGTTGGTTTATTTGTCAGATTTAATTGTTTAATTAAGCGTTGTTTCAAGTTATTGCAAAAAGATGTTGGCTTGCAATGAGATGTTGGCTTGCAATGAGATGTTGGCTTGCAGCCCATGTTGGGGCATGGCCTGCTCCACCACATAAATTCGGATCGATCCATGGCTTTCGCCTCCATGCGCGAACCCCCAACTGGCATAAATCCGTGTCTACATCTTCGATCCATCTCAGTCTTGGACGACCGGTGAGCCGTCTTCCCCAAGGCTTCTGCCTGTAGGTCGCTTTTGATGAATGAGATGTTGGCTTGCAATGAGACGTTGGCTTGCAACGAGATGTTGGCTTGTAATAAGATGGTAATAAGGAAAGAGAGTCTGCAATCAGGTTAGCACAATATGAAATTAGTAAAACAAAGTAAGGTCAAACCCGAAAAAAAGGAACGCAACAAAACAACAAACGTGTCGGCAGGAAGCCTTCATCCGCGAACAAAACAGAAAAAACAGAATAAAATTTTAAAATAGCACTTAGCTTAATATAGAAGTAGTATCCAAGAGCGCAGCAAATGAATTGTGGCTTGCAATGAGTGTTGGCTTGCAACGAGATTTTGGCTTGCAACGAGATGTTGGCATGGATCTACTCTTTAGAATTATTGTTGATTATTTGTTAAATCTGTATCCATACTATCAATCTGATTGGTGCAGTTAAGTTTCCATGGGCCATGTTTATTGAAAGTACAGTTTGGAAAAGAAAAGCATCAGTTAGATCTGAGTTTAAGAAAGTGGCGAGGCGAGTCAAAGTCCTCCATGGGCTGTAGCGCCGTAAGGATGGACGGATTTATAAATAAGGGGCAACAGGAAACAAAGACAATCAAACATAACTCTTATTTCTCTGGGGATAGTAGGCCAGAGTTAATGGTACCTGAATAAGGTTTTTGAATACATTTAATACAATTTCATTCTCTTAAATCAATTAATGAAGTTTCATTTTTCTTGACAAACTTAACAATTTGTTTTAAAATACCTAGTCTTTATTCACACCAATTACAGGACATGGTTATGAAGCTCTCGCCCAGACGTTTAGACATCGAATCTTCAACCTCGGATTCCAGCGACTACAGCAGCAGTCTGCACCCCCAGACCGGACCCCGACGCAACAACCGCTTCGGTCGGAGATCGACGAGCTTGACCAGCTGCACGGACGCCACACACATTTCTCAGGCCAGGAGCAGCAGCAGCAATAACGATTCGGACTTTGACCCCAGCAGCATGTCCCATATTCATCTAGACGGCCATGAGAATTTCGGCTATCAGTCCATCCCCGTCAGCAGCTTCACCTCGGACCCGGCAGCCGTGAAGCCACCCACCTACGAGGACTGCATCAACACCGTGAACCCGCTTCACCTACACCACCACAGCGTACAGGCTTTTTACAACAGAGCCTTTGATCTAAAGGACGAGGGCTGCCCCGATATGTTCAGCCCCCCACCACCCTACTCAGAGATCATCCCGGACAACCCCACGCACCCCAGCGCGATATTGCCTCATGGTCAGGCCGTGGGTGAGTGCCCGGGAATCGACCAGCAGCTCGAACGCGTGGCATCCGGCGGGGGAACCAACGGCTCACATATGTACCCGGATTACAGATGCCATTCACAGCATCCACTGAATATAGGAATCGGGAACTCCCTAACCCCGGTGTCCATCCTGCAAAGCTCTGATGCACTGACTGCCCCTGAGGGTGTCAGAAAGCCTGAAGCAGAAAGTAAAATTTTGGATGTGCTGGAAGCCAGTCCATCGCCAGAGGGCGCTGTCCAACCTAACCACTTGTCAGCTTCGAACCCACACCAACCAACTGCTGAAGGCCTCGTCGCAGCCAATCCCACTACTGCGCCACTGGCCCTACTTCGCCGGTCTGGTTTCATCTCGACTTTGCCAGGAGAACCGCACACAATTTTTGGCTCGGCCCCGGAACCTGATCACAGACAAAAACCGTGCCCCAAAGGAACCAGGGCTGACAGAAAGAGCTGGACGCTAAAGCCACCCGACGATTTGTTTTCTGAGCTGGCCACTGCCCAGTGTAGTGATACTGACCAGTTGTTTGTTAATGACTCATTTTTCCATGGAGCGCCTTGCTGTGACGACATGGAGGTCGTTTCTTCTGTCAGTGCTAGCAATAGAATCCAATCAACTGAAGACAGCACACAAGCTCCAGAAGCTGACTCAGACAGGCAAACAAATTTTGAGACACCAGATGGGAACAACGACAGCACAGGTCAAAGGTTGAATATTGATGGACTGGATGATGTAGGTGAAGGTCACAATGCATGAGATCTTTTTTTTTTCTTTTGAGTATTATATTGAAAATTTTAATATATATTTTCTCCGATCATCAAACTGTGTTTACATATTACATATTACCAGTACCTGTTGCTAAAACATTTATATTGTCAGATAAATTGTGCAGAATATTTTTGTCTTCTCTGCAAAAAATTTTGCTAAAACGATTAACCCTTACTATGCCATTGTGCTGTGATAATCATGTACCGTACCGTTTTGAATGCACAATTTTTCCCGTTAATATTATTATTATTAGTAATTTTAGATGATGATTGCATGAGTAATTCGAGACAGCTTTAAAAACTATAAGGACAAATACAATGATCACATTGAAAGTGATTTGACAGTGCTTCATGTCCTCCCTACTCAACTCTCTACACTGATTGACCCAGATGTGCTAGGCAACTCTGAAGTTGTTTTTCTTCTTTCAACTTACTTGATGCTGATTCACGTTTACCTTATCATGTTTCTAAGTAAATATTTTCTGCATCAGAATTGAAAAGTAATCTGATTAGTGGGCATCCTAAAGAGATGAAAGTTAATTTCAAAGTTTGAATGTTCTGCACATCGATGATTAAAGACACAGAAGGTAAATCTAGATAAGGTAACTATGTTTTGTTTTCATTTTTATAGGAAAGGAATTTTTTTTAATGAACCATCAAAAAATTAATTTGAAAAAGAAAAAATTAACAATTGATGCTGGCTGAAAAAAACAATTGACGCTGAAAAAAAGTTAACAATTGATAGTGGTTGAAAAAAAGTTAACCATTGATACTGGCTGAAAAGAAAAAGTTAACTGATAGTAGCTGAAAAAAAAGTTAACAATTGATACTGGCTATAAAAATAATCAAATGGATGGCAACTGTGATGAAATTAGGAGCTCTTCAGCTAAAATTTTTGAATAATTTAATATTGTGCACTGTCCTAACTTACATCAAGTGTTGTGTTTCAAATTTCTGATTTAAATGAAATCATGAAAATAATTTTTTTAAATGTATACTGGTAAAGTACCGATACCGCACCCATGAATTCATAAAGCAAATTCATGGCACATATTTTAAATTAACTTAAGTTGCCACATAATTGTTAATGATTTTTTTTTTTTCATTTTCAATTTTTTATAAAACAAAGAGTCCTGAAACATAACTCTGTTGATTGGAAAGTTATCTTTTAAATTTTCAATTTATCATCTTTTTCCTAATTTTTTTGTTGAAAAACCAAACAATGATACGACAGTTAATGTTTTTCACTCTATTGACATATCATTCCTTTTACAATAATGACCTGCATTCCAAACATTGTCTTTGTTTTATTTTCATTCTGAAGCATTCCTTTTAGTAAACTGCTTACTCATCATTTAAATGTCGTCATGCCATTAAAGTCACTGCTAAGACAGACGACAAGAGTCATGTTAAATCATAAACTAATTTTGTAGGCCATCTTTGTTACTTTTAATCAGGGGTGGCCAACCAATGTGGCTTCCACTGCCATTTTGATTGTGCGTCTAATAAACACCCAAAACATGATGTACCGGTACATAATTATGTAGTTATTCTTAATGACATAATGCAGATTATAACTAGGCGCACACATGATTAAATTTTCTAGATATGATTCATTCATATTTCTTTAAAATTTTAAAAAATGAAAAATAAATGATGAGTATTTGCGATTTCGAAATTGATTTTAACAAGAGGAGAAACTCAATAGTTTCAGTAATCAGTTTGAAGGGCAGCAAGATTTTTTAAATTAAAAGTTTACTCTTGTCAAAAGAATTTCCAAATTTTAATGAATTGATTATTTAAACTAAAAATAACAATTCGCTTTGTTGCAAGTAACAGAGACAAGAGGATGTAGGAATCAAGGCATATGAAAGATGACAAAGGACAGAGGGTGATTTTATTTTTCATGACATTTTATTGCTTCTCCAAAAAACAAAAACAAAAAACAAAAAAGGTTTTAAAAAAGTTTCTTTTATTAATATATTATTTTTTTTTAAATTTGAGCTTTGATACTCGGGATACTTTCAAAATAATAATTTCTTATGCCAGGGTAAAAATTACATTCAGACGAAAATACCTTGCTCCTTACAAATTATAATCATGATGCCTTTTTATAGTGTACCAAAATCTCAAAATGTTAAAATTTTGCATTCAATAATATTTCAATAATACTTAAAATGAGGTAATAATTAATTATCTTTAAAAATGAAAATGTCAACTAGCAAATGTTTAAAACAAAAGCAAAAATTACAAAATGGTTTTAAATTTAAATAAGCTGCAAATAAGTTGAACAAGAAACAACTGGCTGAAATTGAAATCGTTTTAAAATATTTACATTATGAGATTTACATTTAATTTGTGCATGGGGTTCTCAGAATTTACTCATCTTTTTTTAACATTAACATTTTAAATTTGTTGTACATTTTTCGTACAGTAGTTAATGACATCATTAATGTTGTAACTATTTCGATCTCTTATTAACACTAGGTTACAAACCTGCTTTTTAACCATGTGTGCAGTTTATACAATTTTTCTTGGATAAACTCAAATAATCAATTTGAAGAAAACACACGCCATATTAAAAAAAAATTGTTATCAAACAAAAGCATTTTTTGAATTCATATGGTGTTGGTAAAATAAAATCATTAAGATTCATGTATGATACAAGCCAAAAACCTGTGATAGCACATACACTAAAATTGTAAGATTAAGAAGATTTCAAAGTTATTGTACAAAAAAAAAAGATTATTCTATAAAGAAATCAATTATATTTAACACTTTATTTTATTTAACACCAGTTTTCTGGTCCTTTCTGGTTTTAGAATATTTTCTACGAATAAAACTGCAGTTACAAACAAAAGTTGTTATGTTCAAATTTCAATATGTAATCTTGGGACTCAAATGGCAGGACTCAATTTCACTTTGAAATAAAAAATCAACTACAAAATGTTCTATGTGTTATGAAGATTTGAATTGTGTTGTTCCTTTTGCAAAATACTAATACTTTTAAAAATAAATTCAAATCTCAATTTCAGAGCTAACATTAACATTATTAGTATTATTAGCCTGAAATGTTTCGGTGTCAAAGTCATCTGTAAACCACATTTTTAACCATTACTCTGGAAATCTACATAAACTTTTTGTCTTTCATCAAATCTTTTAAAATGATTTAAAATAAATATACTTCACACTAATCATGTGGCATGATGGGTATAAAAAATAGCAAATGTTGAAAATTACTTCAGAATAAAATGTCATAATTATATGTTATATAACTATCAAGCAATACAAAGACTCTCTGGTAATTGTAAAGTGCTTAGAGCTGTAAGGTAAGCGCTATACAAAAATGCCTAAATAAATAAATAAATAAGTGTTAATTTTTAAAATTTTAAAAACTGATCTAATTTACAAACTGTAATCATAAGATTTTAATCCTTGACCACGATTTTCATTTAAATTACTGGTCCAAAATATTTTAAAAAGAATAGTTATATTTTTAAAATAAGTGGCCAACTGCATTTGATAATTAAATATACTTGATTTTTAATTGAAAAAAAAATTGTTTTTTAAATAACTCAATCAATGACATTCAAAAGTTAAAATCTCCAATGAAACATTTGTATTTCATAATGTTACACATTAAAAATGATAAAAAAATAAATAGTGATAGGCTTTTCAATATCCAAGGTGGTTTCTGCAGCAAGTTTGTTCAACGGGATGTCTTACAGAGATGCCACGTTTTATTTTCCTCAAGTCCTGCTAGGAATACAACAACTTGTACAACAACTTGTATTAAGGTGGTGATGCTCCATGACATTCTCACTCAAATGAAACATCTCACTGGCTCAAGAACAAATTGTTCTAGAATATGAGCTCAAAGCTTTATTACCTGCTTGAGAAAAATAATAAACTGGTTACAGGTATTCAAAACTTTTTAAAATTGGTTATACATTCTAGATTCTTTACTTTGTACTAAAGTTTTAAAAATTAGCTTAGACAATTATTCAATAAAAATTTTAATAGTTTGCATATGGAAAGTAGGAAATATCTTACTTGATTGGAATGAAAATGATCCGACCTATGTTTTCTTCGAAACATCCACATTCGGCAGATCAATTGAGATAATGTCAGAGGTGCGAAGTGTAGCTTTGGGAATGATTCCCATTGGAGTTCCCAAGTTTGTGACATGAATGTGATGGAAATCAACATCGGCAGCGGCTAATTTGCAGCTGACTTTGGTCTTCTCTTGCATTGAAACATGGGCTTGTGTGCCATTCAGATAACCAAGCATGCGTAGAAACCTCTCACGTAAAAACGTACGATCTTCTTGAGTCTGTGGTTCTTGCTTCATTTTAAAATAAAAGTGCTGAAGATTTTAAAATAAAATATATATATTGAAGTTTCTACCCATAATGTGTATAAAGTGTATTAATACATTATTATACTTTGCAAAAAGCTATAAGTAGGCCTATGCTTATTGATCCATTGTTTCCATTTAATTATTTGTAAAGCCTATTGAAGCAGAGGAGGATTTTTTTGAAAAAGATATATGATAATGCTGGAAGGCGGTACTGTACTTATAGGTAATATACTAGAGGGTCAAACTCAAAAAAAAATACCAAGCAGAACATGCCAGGTTTCTCACAGTCACATGCTATTTGTACTATCAATTTTTGCTGTAGTTAAGCTATAGTTATAGTATAGTATACTTATGTCTATGACATTACACTCCTACACCCTACTAAAATGTAAGCTGAGATAATACAGGTAAAGAGTAAAACTGATTTTAAAAAACTTCCCGGAACACTCAAGAGCAGGAAAGCCGAAAGCTGAGGAAAGCTTGAAATTGAATTTACTAATTTGTGACTAAATTAACTAGATCTATTCTAAATAAATCTCAATTTAAATTTCACAGGGAGAAGACAAGCATGGTATGGGTCATGACATTTCGTCTCCAGCATTTCTATTTGTTGGTCACAACAATATCAGTATCAGACATCCCTGAGCTGAATCTTTGCAAGCTTACAAATTAACGCCTTTACATGATTAAATATTCAGTCAATAGGCCTACTATTTATTTATCAATCTTAATTGATTAATTGCTAAGCGTTGCGATACCTTAAACTTATAATTTATTTAATTATGTTACGTTGACGCGATTAATTATTTCTAGTGAAATAAATTTAAAACTTCATTTTTACCTGATGGAACTTCGTCAAAACTCTTCAGTGCTTCTATAAAATGTATATATTGTTATTTGTACAATTAGTTTGTCGTGTTTTTTCGGTGGAAATATTAATATAAAACATGTATTTAAAATTTCAGTCCATCGGAAAGTTTGTTTATAGTTTATAGGCTGTTTAGACGATGTGTGGCCAGATTTTGTAACTTTTCCCAGTCTCAGATCAAGAGCAATAAACATATGGTTAAACTAAGGTAAAAATAATAAAAATAGATAATAAACTAAGGTGTGGGCTTACAGTGGGGTCATACGATGAATTACATGCAGTTAAGGAACAAGGTAAATTTGTTTCGTTTTTTTTTGTTTTTTTAAAGTTTATAATGATATACTTCCAGATTTTCTTCTCTTTTTTTATGGATATCCAACGTTGTTTATGAATTACCAAACTTTAATCGACGGCTGTAATATACTGACGTTGATACTCAGCATTGCGCCCCTCCCCGTCAGTGCGTTCGGGGTATGCGGATGGTCCCTAGCGGCTGGGGCGTATGAACATCTATTCTGGGGGCGCAAAAAAAAATATTTGTTGTATTACGGGATGCGCCACAATACATAGCAATTTAAATAAAAACCTAATGCTCAAATGACTCCCGTAGAGGGGGGGGGGCGTAGAAACTGATTTCCGACCAATACAGTGAACGTTTCCGAGACAAATGAACACAGGACAAGCTAACCCACACTGAAAAGTGAACGCACAGAAGGCAGGTTGCCAAACAGACAGGTGACCACAGGTAGTCCACAGGTAGAATTGAGCAGATAGCCAAATTAACCAACTGACAAATTAGCCAAACGGCTAAGTCCCATGGCGTAATCCTAACTCACGTCTGCCTGTTTTGGGGGCACGCACGCAGTCGGAAAGAAGCATCCCAGACGGCCACTGTGCATACCATATCCGAGCCCGTTATCATCGGAGACGAACACTGTGCAGAACAGTTTATGGGATAACATCTGTTAACTCACCATATATTTATATTTTTTAGTGACCGGCCAAAAATTCGAATAATTCCCAACTCGTTGCTGCCCGCGACTTCCTAAACAGAAACATTGCAAGGCCGAGGAGACGACGTGACCACGTCACTCCAGCTATGTCGGCGCTTATCCATTAAATCAATGTAAGAAAGATTGACTTCGGCAATCAACTGACCAGGGAAACATCGCCCAGGCAAAAGATGCGAAGCATGTGAGTAGGCTACGTCATAGAATTCCACCAACATCAGAGAGCGACCAATGTCCAAGCGTTAGTTGCCGTGTCACGTATCTTCGTAATTAACGGACCGTGGATTATGTTACGAGATGTAAACCAGAGACATGGCTGTGGTGCACGTGATAATGACATACCACAACAGCTAGGGATGAAAAAGAATGCCTTAGTCTTAGTGGCTTAGCGAGGGTTAATTCCGCCATCACTAAATTATATTTTTTTAAACTCTTCATTTGGCTGAAAATGCCGCTCCACCATAGACAGAAAAAAGTGCCGCCTGATGGAACTTAGTTATGTAGATTTACCTAAGTGGTCTGTGATTGGTCAGTTCTAATTTGATGGGAGGAACTTAATTATGTACATGGAAACTAAGTGGTCTGTGATTGGTTAGCTCTAATTTGATGGGAAGAACGTAATTATGTAGATGACAACTAAGTGGTGTGTGATTGGTTAGCTCTAATTTGATGGGAAGAAATTAATTTTGTAAATGAGACCTAAGTGGTCTGTGATTTGTGATGTGTAAAATTAGAGACAGTGTTAGGGATTTTATATTATTGGACGGACTTGTTTTGCTTCATTAGTAATCTGTTCTGGTTTTTAATTCCCTGTTGCTGTTTGTTTCATTACTCTCCAGCGTTTTACCTCTTTGTAAATCACCAATTATTTATTGACAACGAAATTGTCAATAATTTTATAATTTAAAAATAACCCTTTAATTAAAATTATTAATCAACAGTGTCCCACATAACCCCACCCCACACAAAAATTTGGACGCGTTAAGTCCGTAATAGATTCAGGGCCGGGCGAAGGAAAAGCGGCGCCCTGGATGAAGCCTGATACTACCGCCCTTTGTATATAAAAAGTGTGCCCCCTGATATTGACGCCCCTGGCGAGTACCACCGTTTAACGGCCCTGCGCGGGTGACCCTACAGATTCATAGAACATGAGATACCTAAATATTTAAACTTGTCTAAACCCTGGATTGGTTTAGAAAGATATATCGGACACCTAGACATAATTAAATAAAGTTATAAAATAAATACATTTTTACAAATCTAGATTAATCCAATTGGGCAACTTTGTAACGTATCTTTTAAGACAGAAGAGTTCTCCTTGCTTTACCACAATGGCGCCGGAAAAGACGTCTCGTACACTTTGTTAAATTGTTGTTTTATGTTATTCAACTAAAAAGACAGTGTTTGACATTTTAAAAATAAGTCATGGCACCAATTCTCTGCATGGACCTAATAAAGTACCTTTCCCGGCATTGAGACACAATGTGAAATAATTAAGATATATTTCAACTAGGCCCAGACACTCTCACTCACTTGACTCACTCACTGTGTCAGTGTGACTTCACTGACTGACTGATACTGATTGATGAGACTGCAGTGAGTGGAGTAGGACTAGCAATGTAGTCTGTATTAGGTAATCTACCACTTGAGCGTCGGCCAAGAAAAAATCCAGCTGTTCTGGTTGGAAGGGCTATTTAAACAATTATTCTTATTCTATTTTTAATGACATAGTACGTAGTACGTTAGTACGGGTATGGGTCCCAGAGTTGTATCATAGTATAGCATTTTAATTATAATAACGAAGTGGTTATGCGCAGCCGACTGCGTATAACCCTGAGAGTTATACGCAGTTGGCAAGTCACGTGAGATCTATAGTCTTCCTGTGTTACAGTATCAATCGATAAAGGTGCTTCTTAATGAGGGTGACTGGGTGGTCGAATGGAGTCCTTTAAAACCGATTTAAAGACACATTTATTTCGCAAACACCTTCTGCATATTAGCTGTGTTGCTCAGGGTTGAAATGGGTAGAAAGACTTTGACATTGTATGCTTGTAATTAGTTTTCGTAGTGTTGCATTTGTTTTAAATGTGGTAAAATTATAGATTTTTTTTTTTTTTTTTTTTTCTTTTTTACCGCGCTTCTTGCCTTTGGGGGTGAGGCGTTTTTTTGAAATACACTTTTCTGGGTGGTCGAATGGAGTCCTTTAAAAACGATTTAAAGACACATTTATTTTGCAAACACCTTCTGCATATTAGCTTTGTTGAAATGGGTAGAAAGACTTTGACATTGTATGCTTGTAATTAGTTTTCGTAGTGTTGCATTTGTTTTAAATGTGGTAAAATTATAGATTTTTTTTTTTTTTTTTACTCTTGTACCGCGCTTCTAGCCTTTGGGGATGAAGCGTGTTTTTGAAATACACTTTATTATTATTATTATTTATTATAAACTGATCAAACTCCAAGTTAGTGGTCCTGAGTTCAATTCCAGCTAAAGGCCAGTCATGAATACGTGTTAGATGCTATGTTTGTTCTCTAGAATGAAGCAAAACATCTAGGCTCTAGGCTTATTGTTCTACTTTTTTTTGTGGGTAAAAAATGTTTAAACATGATAAGAATTCTTAACTTGACCAAATGTAATGTTAATAATGTTATTCTTTTAATTATCAAATATATGTTTGTGTTGTTAACATATATTTTGTATTGTTAACTAATTTTGTGGCAGATAGTACATAAAATCATGTTTCTCTTGTACAGTAAAGTAATAAATATAATCAGGGGTGGAGAGTAGCAGTAAAAAATAGCTGTAGGGGCAGGGGGTTCTGTAGAGGGAGCACTAGTTTTGCATGGAAGCTGAAAATTGTTACATTGAGGTCAACAAAAAACCAAAAACCATAAATGATATAATTGTTAAAAAAATAAATAGAATGTATTTCCTGAATTAGTCAATAAATCAACCACATAGTCATAACAACATATAAAAACCTAATCAATCAGAATACAGAACTAGACTTAGACCATGGAAATGCCTTTTAAAAAATAATCTTCTTAGTCTTAGACTCTAAGTCTAAGAAATGTAGACTTTGACTTAGACTTATAATTATAATATATAAGATACAAGCAATAATACTAATAATAGCACTAATACTAATACTATTACTATCATTCAATATTAATTAAAATTAATTCAATTTTACGTTAAACACATTAAAACTTATAGTTCAAAACATCCCATCATGCAGCTAATTACGCATAATACTTTTTTTTTAAAAATTGCCAAACTAGCGGTAATAAACCTTATTTGGCTAAATTCCCAGCCGACTGCGTATAACCCTGAGAGTTGTACGCAGTCGGCTGGGGATAACTCTCAGGGTTATGCGATGTCGACTGCGTATAACGCTTCCCTTATAATAATTATTTTTGCCTCTAGTTTATGATGTTCATGATTCATAGCTTTTTAGTCCACGGAAATTTTGTTATAAACTGATCCCACTGTTTTTTTCTACCTCCCCACAGAATCGTCAAAAGTGCTGCAGCCTTATCAGCATACTAGAGAGAGACAACGTACAGAAGTTGGAGGTGTCTGTGAGATGGCATTCTGGGATTGATTGGCTTAGCAAGCAAGAAATATTTTTTGAAAAATAAATTTATTAGTTATTTTATACATAATGGATTTTAATTTGATATTATAATTTTATATAATTATATATAATATACAATAAGGCAAATTTTGGTCAAGATATTTTTCATACAATATTTTGTCGTTTATCTTCTTTTAAAAAAGACATATTTAGACAAACCTCACGAGCTTATTGGAACATCAGTATAGATCTTAAACTAACCAGTTTTTTTGTTTCTTTTTTTCAACAAGTGCTTGTGTGTCAGACTGTTGATATCTCTCTCAAAAAAAACTGACTTTTTATGACTTGATCACTTGTATTAAGATTTCACTTAATATGCCAGTCTATGGCCCTCATTCTTGTTGATGTATCTGGCAGGTCCGTGGCAAGGAAGATGTGCGAGGCAAACTAAACTTTTACTGGCGCGACTAAAGATGGTGGAGGCTGAGAACAGCTCCCTTGTCTTGGAGAATGAACAACAAAGAGAGATGTCATGACGGCATAGCCCATCAGATGGTCC